AAAAAAAAAAAAAAAAAAAAAAAAAAAAAAAAAAAAAAAAAAAAAAAGACTGTCCAAGCTTTTCTGCCACAAGAAATTCACACCAACTTTCCTCCTACGAAATATTACAAATATATTTGAATAAATAATCATTTCAACTAATTTCAACTTGGGCCTGTTGTGGGCGTGCAATGTAAGCTGCATTATGTCAAATAGAATAACAAATGGAACCCTAATACCCTAATAATATTCTTCCTTGTTCATAAAAAAGGAGCAAAAACACTTCAACGGCTTTGGTGGGTTGTCAGTCAGTATCACAATGTGCCAGTCCAAGCAAATCTGTTGAATGTACTGAGCATAGCCTCACACCAACTAAACAAACATCGCCCAGCGGGTGTTGACATTACTGTTAGCATACAGCCCCACCTTAACATACATTTAGCTATTTAGCCATCCCTTATAAAGCCTGTAACACAACCATCACATTGAATATTTATGTCTCAAAGACATCCAAACAAAACTCTTTAGATCTTTACGTGACAATCTGAGCCAGAAGGGCATTGTTTAGTCTCTGTGGCTGTTTAAAACTTCCCTTCACTAGTACAAGCTAAGCTGTGGCAGAAAGAGAGGCAGGTTTGGCTCAGGATCACAGCTAAGTGAAAAGGTTAGGACTGCTGAGAGTAATCTTTAGAAGTGGCCTTCAAAGCATGAAGTCCCCACAACAACAGGTCATATGACCTTTTGGGTAAAGGAAATGTTGGGTCAATAGCAGCACCCCTAACATGACACACTGCCCGACAGTGTGTTCTGTAAATAAAAAGGCTATCCGCTGCTCTTTCACACCATCATAAATAAGAAGGTTAACATGAAACACTGACTGTAATGGGCATACCGGTGTACAACAAGAGTATTAACATACAATGAGAATAACCAGGCCAGTCCAACTGCTGGAGCTCTGTAAACCAAACTGCAAGCAACTTCCTTTTACAGTTGTACTCTCCAAGTTCCTGCCTTGGTACATCATATTGTTTATAACAAGCTGCATGTAAGCATTATCTGTGATTTATTTCTTTATTTAAAAAAAACAAACAAAAAAAAAAAAAAAAAAACCCGACATGTCTAATACTACTTTCTGCTTAAACCTAAGAAAATATCAAGAGCAGAAGAAACGGTTAAAATAAATTGAGCAACATCATTGCCTAGTCAATTTTTACTCGTTGATATTTATGACCATTATATCAATATTGAAAGTTTAGTTCTTGGTCATTGAACCTAATATTTGCCAAACTAAAGCAGGCATACTCTTAGTTGCATCTTTAAAATACATGCAGAGGTTTCTGCAAAACAACACAGCCAGAACCATTGGACAATGTAAATTAAACAGACAAGTGCTAGGGCCTAACTTGCACACATTTAAAGAGTTATATTCAGTTAATACTAATCATTTATTAGATACGAATATGAGGTTCAACTCTTCGGAGAAAAGCTAATGCATGTGCATCGTTAACACTAACACGACCATAAAGTGCTACTACACACTTCATGGCACTTGCAACCCACATAAAAACTGATTAAGTTTCCATTAAAGATACTTTGGCCCTTCTGACAACGCTAGTGCATGTAGGCCTGAGCATTAATCTCTGTTCTCCTGCTTCTGTTTGTCCATTACAATGGATTCAATAAGAAATGCACCACTGAAAGCCTGTCAGAGAATACAACACCAACGTTAGCTAACGCTAACTAATGGTCGTTAGCCAACTCACGTAGGCTGAAAATGTCTAATGTTAGCTAAAATAGCCTTGGAAGTGACTCGGAGAACAAATGTAATGTTACAATACACATCTCAAGCGACCAATCTTCAAAAAAGGGAGAAAGCACACCGGCTAAGTCTACTAAAACAACTGACAACAAGGCAGGAAATAAAAGCAGCTTAGCTAAACGTCAACAGCGAAGCAAAACGTCAGTGATGGCAGACGGCTAACCTGCTAACGAGCAAGTTAGCCCGCAAGCTAACAGCATTCTAACCAGCGATATAACGATTCAAACGAGGAAAAGTAAAGGCTAATATGACACGATACAGCAAACGGTTATTATTACTCGTAGTTAACACTGCTAATGGCCTCGAGACCTTCCCTGACATATTTACCAGCGGTTAGCTTTGAGCAGAGCTAACTGTGGTTAGCACAGAGCTAACTGTGTGAAGGCCCGAGCAGAGCGGCTGTCCGCCGTGAGTTGGACCGAGAGGGGAGATCTCTGCTGCAGCCAGCTGAACGCAACCATGCAGCAGACACCCAGAGAGAACACAGCCGGTGGATGCGTTCTAATATCCCAGCTTAGCGGCCACTTCAGGCACACAAGGTGCGAACTAACTGTGACACAACACACAAGCCCCGTTGTCGTATTGAATATTAGCCGAGGGAAAAAAAGAAAACACTCTGAAAAACAGCGGCCATTCCGAAGCTGAACAAAAGAGTGCGTTCGTACTCACCACCGCAACATGACAATGAAACGTGACACCCGCCGTAACAAGAGGCTGATGAGTGTGTTGTCTCTGGAGAGGTGTGTAACGGCGCTATGGGGGTAAAACGTCCACTGTTAATGTGATAATAATATCACTGTTTTACCTTCAGAGGTGTGCCTCCGCCATCCTTGCTGCCGCTTCCTCCTCCTTTCCTCTTTTCCTTCACTACTGCTCTGCTCCCTCCCTCCTCTGCCACCAAACTGCGTCATTCGCACGCCTAACCAATGTTATCACGAGACTTTGAAATACAAGCAAATATTCGTGGATAAACATTGGCTTCATTTACATAATATATTTTACACAAGGAAATTACTTATTTTGTGTCAGGTTTGTATTAAATAATAACAACACGAAGAATAGCAATACAAGAAAAAGTCATATGACAAAATGCTATCGAAAGACATAAAATAAATACTTTGCTTTGGATAATATGTTTATGATTTTCCCAAAGAAATGTCACTTATCATGTTAAAAATTCTTACATCTACCTTTCCCTCATTGAAAAAAATCCACATATATGAATATGCAAACAGTTTAAATTTGAAAAGTGGAAATTTTATGATTATTCATATTTTGTTCCACTAAAAAAATGATAATTCTGTAAAGTAATTAGTAAATGTAGCTTTAAAATGAATATACGAGTAAACAGTACAACACTTTCCTCTGAAATGCAGTGTAATATAAGAATAAAGTAGCGTAAACTGGTAAAGTACATGCATTGTATATAACTACATGCACTTAAACAAACATATTACTAAAAAAAAAAATATGCAAAACTCTTTATTTAAACACATGAACAGTGGAAAAAAACAAACATCATGGTCATGAGTTTGAGTTATGTTGTTCTGTGAGCCGCCTGTGGATGACAGTCAAGCACCGTGGCTGAGAAATACAGCGAAGGAAAAGGGATCTAGTATGAAGATGACGCAGTGATGGTCTAGATCCACAAGGTGGCAGCAACGCAATATAACGGAAACCGACTGCCGTAAAACACCAACGAAGAAGAAGTTAAAGAGCAGGAAAAGGTCACGTGATTCTCGTTGAATTGACAACAGTTTAAATCTCTTTCTGGTGCTAAAGGTGGGATTATTTCTTTAACCGTTTCTGGGACTGTCAACAATTCTGTTTTTTTTAATGTATTTAACGTGTTCACACACGACAACGGACATATATAGCAGTGTAATGTCAATTAACTATTTCCCTGGTAGTTTGACAAAAGAAACGGCCTCGTTACGTGTTAAAGCTAGCTGGCTTTGGGTTGAGCTAGCGGCTATCAGCTAGCTATTATGTTGTAAAATATGGGGTGCAAATATTAGTCCCAATCTTTAAATTAATGTTAGCTCAACGTGTCAGTCAGTCACACAGCCCTAACGTTAAAGGTAATATAATGTTACTCGGGCATCAATTAACTAGCTAGGTTAACGGTAGCGCAATCGTTACATCCAACTGCCTTTTTGGAAATTGTGGGTGAATATGATGGAGACGTGAACATTTAACATATTACAACAGCTAAAGTTAACAAAAATACCACAGGCCAGTACGGGTGCTAGGCTGGGTTAGTGTTATCCGTGTCTCAGTTTGACTGTGTCTGCCTGTCTAACTGATGTTTACTGATGCTGACACGTACTAACTAATGACAACTGGCTGCATCCAAATCTTAAAGTTCATTTCACTATCCTCCGTATTACAGGAACCTCTAATATTATGACTGTGCGTGTAAACATGCTTAAGTTCAAACTAAACTTGACCCCCAATCCTGCCTGGATGCAACCTCAATTTGCTTCTTTCTTGAATCGTGTTCGTTAAGAACATTAAGAAATACCAAACAACAATAGCAGCTGTCTTGATGACCCCACAGTGTCACCTTGTTAAATCTTTGGCTTCGCTTCCTGAACAGAGCGACTTGCATTCGCAGATATTAAGTGCCAAGCTGGGTCAGGTAAAACATGTTTAATGTAGTAAACTAATACGTTTACTGTACCTTTTCAGCAATCGCTCAGGACACAATGCCAGAAGTCAAGTCAATATTCAGAGAAGTTCTGCCTAAACAAGGTTGGTACCGCAGCAGTAGTTACAAACAAAAGGCTGTTTGTGGTGCTCGATACAACATGTGAACTGTTTAGAAATGTGCAAAAGCCTGCAAAATGAGTCAGTGGGTGCTCTGTGCTCGCTCTTTACCGTCTCTTTTACGGCTTAACAACAGACATTGTTGCTGTCTAAACGGTTATATAATATGGGTCAGTACTAGAGCTGGATGTAGTTCTGGTGTTAAGTGCAATGCTTTCTAATGGACACAAGCTATTCAGTGGTCAGAGCAAACGTCCAGAAATATCCAGATGTTGTATGCAGATTGTGATTTGTTTCTTATTTCGCAACATCCACAGGGCAACTTTCCATGGAAGATGTACCGACCATGGTTCTGTGTAAGCCAAAGCTTCTCCCACTCAAATCAGTCACTCTAGAGAAACTGGAGAAGATGCAAATGGAGGCTCAAGAGGCTGTCAAGCAGCAGGAACTGGCAATGAAGGAGCAGTTGCAGTAGACGCCCAGTGAACTATTCAAAACAGCAGGAATGGTCAAATTGGCAGAAAATGCCTTCTGACGGTTGGCGAAGATCCAGGGTTTTCACGCACTGATATTTCCATGGACAGTCAAGTGCAATATGAAGTGACCGATTGTTTGGCTCCATAGAGGAGATAAGATAGGAGGGGAGCAGTCACCTGAGCTTAACCAAGAGTTGAGTAGTTACATCTATCGCTTGCCAGATTTTCCAGTGTGGCTGGCTACTGAGACCTGTATACTTCTTGTCTACTCTCCATTTGTATTATTGCATCTGTAATTTGGCATTAATGCATACAAAATTCAACAGTGTGAATACAGGGCGGAGCAATTAATGTGTCGGATCAAAGAAGTCGTAAGATGTAGTTCGTGTGACATTCACAAAAACAGTCTTGGATTATCTAATAGTGATTTAATGAACAAACAAGGAGCAATACATGGTACATTTTACACACTAGTATTCCCCAGATATAAAAATAAACATTCTAAAACACCATTTTGTGAAGTTATCCAACTGGTATTTGTTTTTGCACTTTACTCATGTCTTCATACCTTCAATAATGACATCTTTGTGAAATTTAAAATGGAAAAAGAAAAGGGGGAAAAAAAGCCAGCACAGCGTAGAAACGGCAGCTAGTAAGGGGGCCAATATTTCAATTAACCAACGTGCTCCCCTTTCTGTTTTTTTTTTTTTTAAATTTCCTCTTTATAAATCTTTTGACACAAGCCAGTCATCTCTGTACAAACACTGCTTTCTACAAAACACACGAGTGGCAGTGAAATCAAGAAAATACCGTACAAAACAATGAAATGACACACGGCAAGGCGTGGCACTTTAAGGGTTAGCTTATGTAAGGGTTTGTATTGAAACACCTTGAAGAAAGTGATCCACTTCAGTTTCAAACAAAAGTGCAGTTGTTTTTTTTACCCGACTTCAGTTTGAGAAATGTACATTCTTTTGACTGTTAAAAGGGAAAAAAAAAAAATGTACCTCACTTTTTTTGAAAAATATACAAGTAAAAAAAGTAGCTTTATCCTTTTCTTATCAGGAAATCTGGCACGTAAAAAGGTCTCAGTAACTTTCAACTTTGACAACACCACCATCTCCCTCGCTGACGAATCTCTTCCGGCCTCTGACAACAGACAGAACATAATAACACGTAGTTTTAAAAAAACAACAACATGGAAACAAGAGCGTATGGTGTGTATCTGAGAAAGCCAGTAACGTGCACTTACCGACAGGGACAAAGATCTCTTAACTTCACATCAATGATTCCCGTACTGAAGCTCTTATCAACAACTTGCTCCAGGATGAAGTATGCCCGAGGGACATCAATGTTGATTTCAGCAATGTCCATATAAACTCTTTCATAGCCCTATGAAAGAAAAAGACACCGTCTATAAAGGGCGTAGGTTTGCATAAGGACGGTGTGGACATGTCCCTACCAATATTTTGGTGAGGACAAAGGGGGGGGAAGATAAAAAAGAAAGAAAGAATGCCTACAGGTGTGTTGACTCAGCAGAGATAATATTAAATGAGAAAAGTTGATCTACAGAAGAATAAATATTTGAAAGCGATACAGAATGCCTGAGAGCCTTACAGCACTACGTTCCATTGTATTGTTATATTTTGAATTGTCACCTGGTGCCTGTTTCCCATTACATAAATAAAGATTTATCACCATTAATGGATGCAGAAAAATTCACCAGAATGCAGAAAATTAAGTGTTTGATGTGTAAAATTCCCCCCCCCCCTACTTAATGTGTGTCCCTACCAACGTAGACATCAAACCTACGTCCTTGCATGGTTTCTTAGTGAAATAATTACGTGCATTGCTTAATTCAAACACCGGGTGGCGCCTTACCCTTCTCATTTGGTCCAGAGTGATGACGGAGGAGGCAGAGAGCGACTTGAGAAGCTGCAGAACCATTTTCAATGTTTTCTCTCCTTTGGACTCCAACACCATCACTATCGCCTGAACACAAATATTCACAAGAAGCACTTACTGCAGTGCATAGTTTTTCATCTGCATATTTTTAATTGAGACCAGGAGGTGGTCACACTCTTCAATGGGGATTCAAACCGGGATCTCTTAAATGATGAAAGAATAAACTTTCTGTCTCCGTTTCAGGAGTTTTTTCTCATGTTTGGCCTCTGACACACGGGTTATGTGAAGCTGTTCTGCTTCAAGCTAATACAAAGCCTTTACCTTGTAGACAAACTCGTGGTGGAAATGGGGAACTTCCAGATCTCTCAGGCACCTCTCAGCCTCCTTGTTGTCTCCGGATAGGATGTACTCCTTCAGCAGCAGGTTCATCTGACAATACAGAGGAAATGACAATTATTAACCTGCGGCAATTATTCTTAACAGCTAGAAAAAGTTGTAAAAAAGAGCACCAATCCGTTGTAACTATAGGGAACTCTTGGACTTGAGGATGTGTTAAGGCTCTAAGCAGAATCGATTATAGTTTATGAATCATGGTATCACACCCAATAACCTCAGAGACTGTTACCCAGGCAGGTACATTTAAAAGTCCGGTGTGTAGGATTTGCAGACTGCAACCAACGGAAACTTCTCCCGAGTATTATCGTGTCTATGTTGCCTTTTTCATGCTGGTGAATTTACCGGACCGGATACTAGACGAGTGGTAATAAAGAACAGGTCTTCTCCGGTCCGCCTTATGCAATCTACCTCTTTGACGAGCTGCGTGACGGGTCTCTGTCCCCCGCCTGTCCCCCACTGGTTGTCTATGCGTAGGCCTTCCATACTCATCTTCAGCAGCACTGCCGCCCGGTCCAGTGACACTCTGCAGGATTAAAACAAAATTTAAAAAAAAAAAACAGGCTAACCTCTGAGGTGATAATAATAATACAGGAGACGAAAATCACTAAAATCCGACCATAAAGTACCTTGTGTATTGACAGTCAACTCTGCCTTTGTAGGCCTCGATGTAGCTCTCGGACAATATTTGGTCGCTGACAGCTCGTGCAATGAACTGACCCACCAACTGGAAAAAAAAAAAAAAAAGTGTAAACAAACAAAATATTGAAAGATGGCACAGTTTAATATAAATGTTATTCTGCCTACTCATGTTTGTGTTGCTGCCGTTTAAATCCCTTATGATGCTAATTTAAAAAGCGCACGGCAGGAATGTACACAGTCATGTGTTTGTTGTGTTACAACTGAATTCCGTTGTCCATCCATGTGTTGCATAATGAAAATAAATTATCCCTTTTTTTTTTTTAATCTGGGAATTAATTAGCATTTCCTATATAAAAAAAAAATACAAATTAATTTCGTTTCTATATCGAAAACAAAAGACAAAGACATATTTAAAATCAACAATTTAAATGACTTCAAGGATCAGTGCCCTAGTTAAAGTTAATAAAATACAGTTGTGTTGCATGAGAATACATGAAATCTAATTGATTTAATACACTCCTTTAAGAAAGTCAAACAAACAATTCTGTTACACATTAAGTCATAATTACAAAGTAATTTCAGTTTGAAGAAGTGGTCCCATAAAAACACTGGCTCGGGTGTATCTGTTTACAGTAGGGTGGTACGTGATTTAAGGAAACGAAAGAGCTGGCTTTGCTCTTCTGGCCTGGACAAAGCCAGCGCTGATCACTGATCATTGTCCCTGTTCAGACAAGGGGCAGCTCTCATTTGACCCGTGGGGCTGTGGCTAGACTCGCAGGCACACGAGGAGAAAGAGAGGAGAGTGCAGTGTGTGTGAGAAACTGAAAAAGAGAAGCGTGAAAAGGGGTAAAAGGGAAGGAGGTGTGGGTGGGGGGGCTGGGCAGAGTCATAATACCCATTTAAACCCACAGAGAACAGAGAGAGTGGGACAGAAATGACTAGTGAGCCCCAATGAAACCGTGACAGGAGGAGTGTGTG